AATTCTGCTAAAAGTTATTATTATTGTTAGTGTTGTTATTGTGTTGTGTCTTCTTGATATTATTCTAGGTCAATACAAAGATTTTAATGTAGCAATGGAAGTACAGCTACTTCACCTTGTGAATTTTAGTTCCAAGTACTTTAGTTTTTGTATGGGTGCATATATGAGTAATGTTATATGCACTAAATTTGTGCATTAAATGATATGGCAATATCACATTCATTGAAACCTGGGGGTGGTTAAGTGGTTAAAAATTGATTTTTAATAATTTCGAGATCTCGGATTCAATCTCTTTCTACACCTCTTAAAGACCAGCTATCTTTGTCTCTTTAGGGACATACTCTAACTAAATTGAAATCACGATGACCAATCGCTAAACTCAAAGAAGTAGTTAACGCTAGCTTAGATACCCTGCAGTAAAAAAAAAAAACATCACATCACATTCATTGGATGAGTTGTGGATGTCAATACGACTCACCAATCTAATAATCTACATCATTTAATGTATAAATTTAGTAGAGACAATATTACTCTGCATCCATATATAAGAATATTCAAATTTGAATTTGGATTTACCGGAAGCATCAAATTTGCTAGATTGGGTTCCCTTTATTCCGATGCTTCTGGATGCATATTGTTGTGGTGGTCTGTTTTATTGGGTGCTTTAATTTGAGCTTGACAACTCTTAGCCCCTTTTTTTGACCGACTAACCTTTTGTAGACCATGTGCAATGTGCACTTGCATCCACACCCTTTTGCAGGGAGTGGGACACTCCTCCTTTGCGGCTAATCAATTCCATTGTACGAGGGGAATGAAAATTTTGAATATATTTTAATTAAAATTATACCACAATTACAAGAATCTAAGAAAATTAATATATTTAAATTTAAAAATTATTTTCAAAAGGACCTTGAAATAGTGGATTAGAGCACTCTGATTTTATTTTAAATAGAATACAAGTATTCGTATTCAAGTTTCATACATTAAATAAGCTTGATCAGAAAACCATAGAATTAATATAATTTAATAAATTTCCTCCACAAGCTTCTTCAAATCTTTCTTCAAACTCATTATAATTTTGTTTGTCATCACCGATCCGAACCGACCCAAATCACATATCATAACCTCAATAAAATAAATGAGAATATTAACAATGCTCGCATTTGTATACGAAATGAAAAGAAAAATCAATGTCTAAATGACTAATAAAAACACAACAACCAAACAATGGAAAATTTAAGAAAAATTCTGAATATTTACGCATTATAAGAAAAAAAGGTTTTTGAGTCGATAATTTGTCGATGAAAATAGTCTATATACCAATGTAAAAAATATTTAAGTCAGCAATCATACCATTTGAGTTGGTTAAGGGATTGCAAATAATGGGTGATGCAAAAAGTTTAGCAGACAGAAAAAAATATTAGTATCGAAAAACAGTAGATGTAAAAAATGAGGCTGAAGATTGGTTTGCGTCAATTTTTTGCATCAGTAGCTATTGCTGAGGCAAAAAAAAAAAAACATTTTTGCGTCGGCAAAATGCCGATGTAAATAATTTATTTTACTTGCTGACACAAAGAGTTATTTTTTTGCATCAGTAATTTACCGACGCAAATAATCTTTTATATAATTTTTGTCATTTTAAATATTTATCATTTACTTCAGCAATTTGTTGATACAAATACTCTCCTTACACATTTTTTTTATTTATTTTTTGGATCTAAACATGTGCATGCTTATTTGTACACATTTTTTTTTAACTGCGACAGAAAAAAATATAACTAAACAACTAAAAATTATAAACATGGATCATTCATAATTATGGATAAAAATATTTCAATATTCATAAAAAGAAAAAAAATTACAAATACAAGATAGCCGAAATTTTCATAAATGTAAAAAATTCAAAAAATACCTATCAAAATTATCAATACATGATTGAACTAAGAAAAAAAAATTGCTCTCCCAATCACTAAATATTTTTGAATGATCCATTCTCTCATTTTCAATTCTGTTTATTTTCTCTATATGTATGATCCATTCTCTCATCAATCCCTGTAAAAATAATTTAAATTTTGTTATTATTATAGCCAATGTCAAAGGAACCCCTCCGCCCACAAACCTCTAGACACAACCTCGGTGCAACATTTAAACTAAGGCTATTACAAGTCCAGCAGCTATAAAAGCATGATCAAGCTTATGTACCTTATACCAATGCGAAGTCCTTCGCATCAAGAGAACATGATTATCGCTACCAGATATAATTCATCAAAGAGCAAATATTTTAAAAACTAGCTTTGTAAAAAAGAAAGAAAATAAAATCAAGCCAATGTTGTTCACAAGCAAGTTAACTAGAGCCAACAACAATTAAATGAGAACGGAATTGTTTAGACATAAAATAAATAAATTTTATAAATATCAATGTACCAACATCTAATAATTTGAATGCACTAAAAAGATATCACGTGACAAAAACTGAAGAATAACAAAAGATCGTCGGGCACAATCATGTTTAAAAAAATAATAATAATAACTAAATGATTAATTTTCGTTGCTTAGGAAACATAACTATTCTTACTAATCCAACACATCAAAACCAAAGATCAAACACAGTTGAAAAAAAGAGGTTAAACCTCTAATCAATCTCTCGGAGAGACGGTGCACCGGCAGCAACATTCTTGACGGTGAACTTCCCTTTGGCCTTATCAGCAGCCTTTTCCTTCCCTTGGCCTTCCGGTCAAGCAAAAGCCTTCCGGTCCTATATCAAGCTTAAGCTTAGTAACAACCACCTTAGTAACATTCACCATCGACCCATTTTCCTTATCAGGGGTGACCCGCTCAATGTGAATGACCATTTTTTGCGGTAAACCTGAACAATTTTGCCCTCCCGGCCCTTGCAGGTCCCACGCACCACCTGGACCTCGTCTTTTCAGACCGGGATTGACCGGACGTTGTACTTGTGCCTGAGGTCTGACGAGAGGTGCGATAATAACTTCTATTGCTTTAGAATGTAAATTCATCAGCATCCGATAATAACTTCCTTTTCTATGATCCCTCCAGCCCATTGTATTTGTAGCTAGTATAGTGAAGATGATCCTAAGATAACAACTAAGAAGAATTTTGAAATCATCCCTTCAAAGTCACCTCCCAAGTCCCAACCAACTCCAAATCCCCTACATTTGAGCTGGAATCACATTTTGCGTATCCACAGTATTGGCAGGTTGTGTACTTGCACGTGATTCCTCCAACACCCGGAAAAAGGCATAAGGTCCCTAACCTACATTTAGAAATGGAAAATGGCTCAACTGGGAGAAAATCAAAACAAAAACAAAACACAGAGGCACTATGATGCATGTGGTCATCCACTCGAGATAATCCAACAAGAGATGTGACAAGTAGAGGAAGCAAAACAGTGCAGAGTTTAGCAACATGGCCTTGACGGTCAAATACTTTAGGTAATAGAATTCATACACATCTCTTCTACGAAGACAAAAGAGAACAAAAATCGCTATTGGCAACAAAACTGCATACATCTAGTTAGGCAAATACAAAATAAAAATAATAATAGTGAGAAAGCCCATCAATTACACTACTCCTATGGAAATAACTGCGGTTTTGTTTACAAATAATGGGGAAAAGTCGCTCACTGGGACAGCCCATAGAGAAATGGTGTTATCTTTCAAGGAATACTTTAGATCAGTCGTCATATTTTTCCCAACAAAGCGGTAAAAGGGATTGATAACATTTAGAACGACTTCTATCATGACAAGAAGCGCCAATATCAGCCAATCATGCACGTGTGTCCTTGCCAATGTCACACCATGGGACCTCACAGTAAGTGGTGACCCAAGATGGACTTCCCTCATTGTACTGTGCTAAAGAGTCATACACGCCACAATAAGGCTTGAGTAATTAAGAAACAAAACTGTAAGTAACTCTCCAAGAATACACTACGCCGCTAAAAAAGACTGCAAAGGTCAAAATAGAACACTCTAATTTCCATTAATAAATGAGATAGCATCTATGCAAATAGTAATTGTTGTCACTGATGGTATAATGCAATTACAGTTAACATTTTGGAACCCCCATATTGAATAAGAAGATGATAATCCCAAAAATAAAGGGATTTGAAGCCACAACCATTGTAGCATACTTTGTTAAATTAACCGTAAGGTATGAGAGGGGTCAGGGGTCCATAATTCATTGATAGCAATCTGAACGGAAAAGGAATTTGACTTTTTGCCCTAGTGAATGCTAAGGAGAAACAAACAACAAGAAAAACAATATTCGGCTTCTTGTCAATAGGTGGATTCAGAAAAAATGATGCTGTTGCTGATGAGGATATTACCAACTATAATAAAAACAATGTGTTCCTAAATGTTACAAATAGTACGAGTGACAAGAACAACAGGAATGTTTATGAATGAGAAGGTCTGAAAATAGCATTGCAAACAAATTAGAGAAATAATACAGATGAAAATACTAGACAATGCAACAGATAAGTATGATAGAATGAGAAGAAGATAAAAGAGGGTTCAAGAACTAGGAGAGGAATCATACATATACAACAGATGATGCTCCCATAAACGGTTAGCTGGACATAAATTTGCCTAGTCTCGCATGTTATAGACCCTTCAAGTATGAAGGGATCCCTGAACTACTCTAAAATGCATGATTATTTCAGCAAGACCCAGAAACTGAATTGAAATATCATTGCTCTTTTTTGGGAGTTGACAATTTTCTCATTAATGTTATTTACTTTAGCTGGGTATCAAAAATGCTAGTCTATATCTTTAACCAAGTCACAGCCAGTAATTTACGGAAGGTAAATATATTCATAAGAAAAAAAAAAACAGAGGTGATGCTCACATGACAATGCATCCACCCAATACAAAAGTAGAACCAAAAGATTTACAACAACCAAGAGTGTAGAATTCTAAAGAAAGTGCCAGCCTTGAGCTGGTACTTCCAGCAGAATCCAGACTCAAAGGAGACAAAGAAAGCAAAGAGGCTTCCATCAGATAAAATGGAAAGCCCAATGCCAACATACATGCCAACAGCCAAATGAGAGAACAAATGGATGAAGGAGCCAGAAGAACCTTTCATGCTCTTAGGATGAACTCCTCATAACAGAGCAAACATGCAGCAATCAAGGCAGCATTCAAGAGCAGTGAAACAAGAAAGTCGTGAACAGTGCCCAGCGACTGTGGCAGGCTGCAATGGAGACCAGGCGGCAGACACCATAATAAAAGGCAGCTGAGGGGAACCAGCTGAAACAACAGATAAAGGTCATCAACACTCTGCTGAAGCAGCTGCTGGCCTTTTTCACAGCCAGTAATTTGGTAATGATACAGCCTACATGTGAACTACTGTTGAAATGCCGAATTAGATGCGGAAAAGACAATCAAGTTAACTCAGAAGTCAGAATACACCACGGCTAAACCCAAGGGACAATTGATACTCGAATGCCTCATATACAGCCGCAATAAGCAGGATAGAATATTCAGTCCCCAAACAATATATATGAGACCAAAGATCCATAAACAATCTTATATGCATACGAAAATGAACCATTATTGGAATTGTTTGAGTACTACCGTGTCATATAAATTAAAACCTCAAATGGAAACTTGTCTATGCAATGATAGTTGAGATATATTACATTTATTTAAACTTCTTCGACCAACTATTCACTGTAAGTTGCAAGCTCTTACTACTTTTTCTCATCTATGAGTGACTAATGATCACTAAGAACATTATAGTAGGAGAAAAAAATCTGGAAGCCCAAATATCAAAGAAATATACCTCTTGGTTCTTGTAATTGATCAATGGAAAGTAGAGCAGTGAAAACCTAGTTGCAGAAACCTCCAGCCTCTGGCTTGACAAAACCTACATGAACCACAAGAATCAATCTTCAGTTGGAGAAACGCTGAACCCCATAACTCATTGGGTAGACCTCAAAGGAAACCTTAAGCAGTACTTATGACAAATAAAATTTTGAAGTCTTTTGATAATTACAGTCTCAAAACTTCATTGTAGTCTTTACAATAACTCTAGCAAGAAAGCACATTTTCCCTCGGTGTCTACGGTAAATATGACAAGTGACAACCACAAATCCCTAGAAAAGACCTATATAACCTCAAAATTCGGTCTCATGCAAAATCATATCTATATAACAGTTTGTGAATTTCAAAAAATCCTCAAAATTTTCTTCTAAAATAGTGTACATAAAATAAACACTTCACAAATGCAACTTTATTCCCCCCCCCCCCCAAAAAAAAAAAAAAAAAAAAAGAAAAAAAAAAAAAAAAAAAAAAAAAA